TTGAAACCAATAACATTTTATTTTTCTAAACTCATAATTATTTTCCCTTCACAAACATTTCAATTAAAACTTTCAAATGGGATAATTCTTTCCATTAAATCAAAAAATAAAATATTTTCTTAAAAGTATAAATAAAAAAACTAAATAAGTGTAAAAAATTAAATATTAATGATAAAACGACTTCAAACTAGAATAAAAACTCTTAAAATACACAAATATGTCATTATAATGTCCATTTAGAACAAAAACTTGTACATCTAGAAATTGCCAATAGTCTCAAACCAAGGAGTCTTAAGACAGAAATACCAAAAAAAAAATCTCAAATATATATATAAAAAAAAAATTAATCCAAAGAATTAAGCATAAAATTTAGGATTTTAGGTCTAATAACATGTCAAAATAGTGTGAATACTTGAATTACCATCTCTAACCATGTACAACTATTTATTTTTTATTAATCAAACAAATGCCTATACACTAATAATATTACAGCTGACATGTGAAATCCATTAAATTCTCAAGAATAGAAAGCTTTAATTAATTGTGAAAGAATTAATCAATGGCCTCAGTAACCATAATGCATTATCATTTCTGTGGCTATTAATTCTCCTGTTTATGTTTTTATACATTCATCTTATGTCTTTAAGAGTTAGGCTCAGATAATTAAAGAATCTTCTTATTAAAAAGTTATTCATCTTAGAAAATAGTAAACATATATTAGTTTTAAAATCAACAAGTGGGAGCAATAAGAACAGGAAGGAATCAATCATGGGAAATCTACTCTTATCTTCTTGTGCAGCTTCTCTTAATTTAGATTTGACCCTCATACACCTTCTCAATAGGGTCACAGCAAAAATCTTCTTTATTATTATATATAAGAATTAAATAATTTAAATCTTAGTAAATAAATATCAAATTAAAATATTTTATCTAGGTAACCCTTTAATTTATTTCATTTAATCATATTCACTAAAAAGTCTAATAATTTAACTTTCGTTGATTATTCAATAAAAAAACACAGCATTTTGTTCTATGTCACTTATTTAATAAAAACTAAAAAAAATGTAAGACATCCAAAAAAATCTAAATAATTTAAAATAAGAATAAAAAATGATTAGTTTATAAATAAAACCTCTTTGTCTTGTTAACTTGCTAATTTTTCTCGGGATCTTTTATATAAATATTTATTTATTAAAAAACATTCTATTATTAATTTAAAAATAAGTTTTAATTAAAAAAATAACATTCTAAAAGTTTGATGTGATAGTTACAATCACAAGAAACTCTTCAGCTGTTTTGTTATACCTGAGTTAATAGGTTAATTTCAAAATCATTTAATTTGATTTTTTATTTATTTTGAGTTCAAAATTAAATTGTTTGGAAATTGATTTAACATAGCTCAATAATAGACATGATAGTTTAAAAATAATTTGGATAACTAATAAAAAACTGATTTAACTTAAAATAAATTCAAGATAAAATTATTTTTAAAAAAATATTGAGACAATAACAAACTAACTTAGATTAACTTGTCAAATAAATAACTCAAGCTATGAATTCAACTGGTTGAAATGATTTAATTTTAAAAAAATATTTTTTATTTAATAATATAATAAAAAAATATAAATATTTAAAGAAAAGCAACCAAAAAAAACCTTTTTTAAAAAAATAAAACCGTTGTAATGATCCGTCAAAAAAAAATGTGCTTACGACGGGCCTGGAAGGAGGGACCGAGTGTTTTTTGTAATTAAAAAGCTTTAATGGTCGTCCCTGAACTCTTATTTTTCTATACATTTTGTCCTTGTACAAATTTGTTTATGGATTCTATCCATTAAACTTTTTTTGATGTCAAATATATGTATAAAGGAAAATGAGAATTACACTTTATTTAAAAAAATATATATCAAACAATAAAAAAAAACCTAATTTGAATATTAATAAATTACATTAACACTTCAACTTTAAAAACAAACCAGCAATGCATAGAAATATTATTATTAAAATCTCAATTCAAAATTTGAGAATCCAAATAATTCCAAACATTTTAAATCACATTAAAAATCAATTTTTATATAAGGTTATAGCAAGCTTGAGATTTAAATGAGAGGCTATTTTTTTTTTACTTTTATTTTTTCTCCAGAAATAGAAAAATATATTTATTTGTTAAAAACAAAGATAAATTTTTCTAGCAATACAAATAAGAAATATAAAAAGATTACATCTATTTTTAAAAAATAAAAAATAAAAACTATATTTTATAATAGTTTTCGTATTTGTGATAATTTAATTGTATAATATTTATTTTATTTTATTTTAATAAAAAATTATCATGACAAATTATATTATTACCTCAGAAAATTCTTTATATTACATTTTTAATAAAAATTAAATCTATGATACTAACTAATTATGAAAAAAAATGAAAAAATAATTTTTCATTTTTCTAAAAAAATATATTATTTATGTTTTTGTTTTTTCACTTGAAAAACTGTGGAAAACTTGTATGAAAAAAATTGTAAAAAGACATCTAAAAATTATTTTTTAAACATAGTATGAATTAAAAGAAGAAAAAAACTAGAAAACTAGCTTCTTCATTTTTTAACTTTTTGAATGAAGAAATATTATTTTGAATAGAAAGTTCTAATTTTTTAATTTTCTAAAAAAAATATAATATTAGTAACAAATGCATTCAATCTTCACTTGAACAATGGAAGGAAATCATAAAATGATAAGAGAGCCACAATGAACCTGGACTCAGTTTCGACCAAGTGAAAATAATCCTGACAAGACTCCGAAAAGCTTCACGACACTGCAGGCTAGCTTGTCGAGACACAGTCATCCTCCTTCTCAAGCCTCATCCAAGAAACCGAACCAGATCTGCAGACACCATCACACGTACGATACAGTAACGATGTCAAGTTCTTTCAAGGAAATCCAAATTCAACACCAAAAACACTACAGCAACATCACTTCCTTTCTTTTCCCTGCCGTTCTATCTCCCAACCCCTTCTCTTCCTCTACTCTTTCCGTCTTCACCGATTCTATTATAGCCCAAAAACCCTTCTTGGACTCTTTGCTTCTGAAAACTGGAGCCATTCTCTTTAGAGGGTTTGACGTAAACACTGCGAAGGACTTCAATGACGTCGTAGAAGCGTTTGGGTTCGAGGAATTGCCTTACGTTGGTGGGGCAGCTCCTAGGACCAACGTTGTTGGTCGTGTCTTCACTGCTAATGAGTCCCCACCTGACCAAAAGATACCCTTTCACCATGAAATGGCTCAGGTTCGTCCTAAACACTAATTTTTTCTAGTTTTAATCTTTACTTAATCAACAAATTAGTTGGTATTTGATTTGGCTGCTTTTTTTGTTTTTCAGGTTCCAGAATTTCCATCGAAGCTGTTCTTCTTTTGTGAAGTGGAGCCAGGAAGTGGGGGAGAGACTCCTATAGTTCTTAGCCATGTTGTGTATGAAAGAATGAAAGAGAGGTACCCAGATTTTGTTGAAAAAATAGAGGAGCATGGCTTGATTTATACTCGAGTTTTGGGTGAAGAAGATGATCCTTCTTCTCCAATTGGCCGTGGATGGAAGTCAACATTTCTGACTGATGACAAGAGCGTGGCAGAGCAAAGGTTTGTGTGTTTTTTAAAACGTTGCATGAGGTTGTTGATTGATTGATATTTTGGAAATTGAAATTAAATTCAGATGATCTAAACTTTGAACGACAGGGCTGCCAAGCTAGGAATGACGTTGGAATGGTTTGAAGATGGAGTGCAAACAATAATGGGTCCAATCCCAGCTATCAAATATGACAAGTCAAGAAATCGTAAAATCTGGTTTAATAGTATGGTGGCAGCATACACGGGGTGGAAAGATGCGCGAAATGATCCTGTAAAAGCAGTCACATTTGGTGATGGCGAACCATTGCCAGGTGATATCATCCATGACTGTTTGAAAATCCTTGAAGAGGAAAGTCTTGCCATTCCTTGGCAGAAAGGTGATGTTCTATTGATAGATAATTGGGCTGTTCTTCATGCTCGAAGATCATTCAATCCACCTCGTCGAGTCCTAGCTTCACTTTGCAAGTAGTATAATATCTGTTATCTGACCTGCTTACAGTAAAGTAAAGAAAAGTAATAGTTAGACAGTTTTAAGTAATACAAGTAAATAATGATTTGCAGCACAATGATTGTGCTGAAATCCAATGCATAGTTTTTCGAATAATAAATGTCACTGTTTACTTTATTTAGAATAAAAAATTTTACCCGCTGAACAAGTGTCCAGTCCAATCCAATTATGGGAAACACTCTCTGGCAGGTTAGTTTGTCACATTCTAACCATGTAGTAGGTTCTCCCTCTCCTTGCTCCTTTATCATGCGGTCCCCCCAGCAGCCATTTGGAATTCACATTGCCCAAGGTGTGGAACCTCAATAGCAAGCAATATTCTAGCTTCAATGGCTTACAGAACTGAAAACCCTTAAGTGAGTCATTTTGCATGAAGGGCTGCCATGACACTGATCTAATTCCATGTCTGTGTTTTCGGAAGGGCACTTTTGAGTTTAGGCTTGCTGATCAGAGCTACATTTCCATTCCTTGTTCAATATAATTTTGGTTTAGCAGAAACAGAACTTTCAAAGTTAAAAGAATGAACTGATGTATTTTTTGAGTTAAGTGGCATCATAACTGTTTAAATTCAACATCAAAAAATGTTGAATTTCCATTGATTGAAATGGAAACATCCCAATTATTGGCGAGTTAATTAAGACTATAGATGATCTGTTCTGGTCAATTGTGCATTAATATATACGATCATCATCTCTTGTGGCCAAAAACATTCTTATCCTATTCTACTTCAGAAGTCTCATAAACTTGAGCATAACTGGTTCCAGATCAACAATCTAATCAAAACGATCTTATTAGCATCATCGGGTAGATTATAAAAATTTCTGATTATCAGCCGCAATATATTCGAGGCTAGATGAGATCATAAATCAACTTACGACAATTGAGAACAAGCAAGAAATAAGTGCTATTATATACGCAACTAGTTACTTGTCACATGCAAAACAGTCAAACGTTTCCTCACTACATCAAATTTTACATTAAATCAAAATTTCGCACACAAATGTAAAAAATTTATACAACAGCAATAACAGGTAAAGGAGAAAAGGCATTGAGAATGAAAAGATATGCATGTTTAAAGACCAATATATTACTGCTTTGGTTGAATGTGAGGCTGTTGTGCACACGCTACTATAAAGACAAAAAAGACGGAAGGGGGGCTTCAAGGCAGCCAAAAAAGATGTGAAACTGGTCGGATGGAAGACTCCTCCGTTACTACCTTCCTTGGACAAGACCACTGAAAACTTGGCTGTTCCCAGCAAGAGTTGCTTCCCACTCAATGGAGGATAAAACAATTTGTGACAGGGAAATCACAACTTGCTTCATGTCAGGCCGTAGGATGGGATCCTCATCCACACATTGCTTTGCTAGCATGGCCAACTATGCATTGATACACGAAAGTTAGAAAGGCAAGTCACTGCAACATAAAGAGGTGGCATCTTATGTAAAGCATTTACCTTGAATACACAATCATGGGGATACAAATTCATCATATTAGGATCAATGAGGTCTTTCAAGCTTGTCATGCTCATGGAGTCAGGTGAGTTCCTAAGAGCTGCTAGCATCTGCAACATTCACGGGAATGATTTAAAATATAGCAACAAACATGGATGCTTACCGAGTGATGCAGATGCAACCGCACAAAAGGATGCATGCACAATAGCAAAATAATTGAAAAATAATGTCAAAGCCAGAAAAGGTACAATAATGAACAATAACATTTAGAGCGTGGCAAACAAGAATCAAGAATAAGAAAAGCATTCATGCCATATTGCCAAAATTAATTTTTCTTCTTACAACCAACACCATGTTTTCCAGAGAGCAAGTCCTGAGATCGAGGACCAAGAACTCTTAGAAATTTCTTTTTATGTTATGCATACGTGAGAGGCCAATGCTTAAGGAGCTTTTAGACATTTAGTTCATCAAGATCACTGCTTAGCTCAGGTTCACTTTATGCTTTGATTAGATGGATAGAAGCAAAACTTACAGTAGATGCCAGTGAACGTCTTTCAGGATTTTTTGTAACCGCACCTTCAGTTCTTATTATGGCTTCCTTCCCAGATATGATCTCAAAAAGAACTACACCAAATGCATAAACATCACTCTTGGTTGTGGCAAGGCCATCACTCAAGTATCTGCAAGGCCAATGGTGAAAGGTTAGACTAGTTGAAGGAATAATAATAAATTGCAGTAGTTGTCTAAGAGTATATTTACTCACTCTGGTGCTAGATAACCATATGTACCAACAACTTTTGTTGCTGTAGCTTCTCCCTCGCCTGTTTTGCCAACCAGTTTTGCCAATCCAAAATCTGAAATCTATAGGCACACTACCTTGTGAGATGCAGTGACGTTCACTGAGATTGAAATAAAATTAATAAAGTCTGATATGTTGAAACCTTGGCCCTGAAGGAACCATCAAGTAAGATGTTGCTTGTCTTGATATCCCGGTGGACATAGTGTGTTTTAGTGTGCTCATGGATGTACTCCAGGCCTCTAGCTGCATCAAGTGCAATCTGGACCCGCATGATCCATGAAAGTGGAGTATGACCTTCAAGTCAGTCAAAATTTTCAATTTTCAGTTCTAATAAAGTGGGTCCTACAACATGCCTCACTCAAATTGCTTCCATTAATTGTAATATGAATGAAATGAACATGAAAGCTTTATATGAGTTGCATTTTTTGTCCTTTTAGGTAGTTGCGCAAAGCAAGAACGATCCAGATTCATGCTTAATGAAGTATTACATGCTTGTTATCGAATTGAGGTAACTTATGGAACCAAATGATCAACAGAACAAGACATAAAAATGACTATATGAATACCGCAGAGATCTTACACAAACTATAGTTATAGGGACACTCATTTTCCAGACAATGTCTTGAGGTTAGTACATGTAATAAAAACATTTAAAATCAAAAGAACAGGAAAAAAAAATGCATGTTCCTTGCAGATGCCTTACATCCTAGTATCTATGTCAAAAGTAATTACTAGAAAACTTCCTTGAATGACTGTTCAACACTTTTTCAGGAAAATTAATTTACAAACTTAAGAAATTAAATCATCCAGAAGTTGTAAGGTTGCAACTTCTTACCCTTATTTTGGGGATCATGTAAATGACTTCTAAGTGAACCCTTCTGTGCATATTCATAGATCAGGAAGAGCTCTGCATCACTAGCTGCGTGGCCAATCAATTCTACCTTGACAATGTTAAACCAAAATAAGAGTCAGAGCTTCCAAGTTTGTGAAACAAAAGGGCATCAAGCCAGCTATTCAATTATAAAAAGCATTACCAGATTTGTATGATGGACCTTGCACAGGATTTTCATCTCAGCCATAAATTCTTTAGTTTTTGTTGCAGTCATTCTCTTAATAGCAACTTCCTGGAAAGATTAAAAACAATATTATTCTTTACGTTATATGATCACTAGGTACCTAAGAAACAGAGAAAATAGCTAGAAACCTGGTCATGAAGGTGACCATAATACACAGAACCATATGTTCCATGACCAAGAAGACTAGAATCCAAAAATTCATCAGTTGCAAAAAGAATTTCTTCGTATGTAAAAACCACAGGCTTCTCATCAAATACATCAGTTGCTAGACCTGTGAACAAGAATATGAAGTCATAAATTCAAAGCTTTAAGTTGACAAGGAAAACACGACACTGGCACCAAAAGCATTAAAACCAATCCTTCACATCAGAATTCCAGAGATTATATATAAATCAAAATCTGATAAACAGTTGGTAAAACCTTTAGGTACAGTGATCTGGTGGCTGCTAGACTCCCCATTTGTTTGCTTCCAGTCTACAGATTTGCAGCAGATGGACCTTCCAGAAGTACAAAAAAAGCTTTGCTTACGAAGAATATGAAAATTTTGAGAAATCTTGCCATCAGGAGGCTTCGCATGACTTCCTCGAGATTCAGTAAAGCAACTTGAGGACTTAAGAGACACACAAATAATTATGCATAATACAATCAGTGCAAGACCGATCCCAAGACTCCCTATGATCCATCCATATGGTACAGGAGCCTTGTGAATTGTTGGAATATTTGCTGCAAAACACAGCAGCAAGTCATTTTGTGACATATAAGAACTCACCACAGCTTAAACAGGAAGAACTGATGCAAAATAAGAAAGAGTGAGGAGCTTTGGGAACAGTAAATGAAAACTTTAGAATTTCAGCTTTTAACCACAATTTTAATCATATTTCAGCATAAATGGGGACTTATGATTATGTTCAGAGTTAATACATTGAATTTATTTAAATCAAAAGAATCATTAAATAGTCTAGAGTTACCATCAAGAAGGTTCTGGTGATAGTAAAATAAAAGTAAAAGTAAATTGCCAAAGTAGGGTGACAGTCATAATCTGCTCGCAGCCAGTATTAAGAATATACTTTGTTTCATAATCAGCACGTACAGCAGGTAATGTGCTTGAAAGATACGCAATGCGTTTTAGACTAAAGTAGTTTGCCATTATTGCACTTTTATATGTTCTGGTTAAATATATACCATGATATTGGTTTTGCTTTTTCAAACTAAAGCAGCAGATGAAGGCAGTTAAACACACAATTATGGGCCAGATAACTCTCTCTCATACGCTTGCACACCGTACACTCAGAATCATATCATATGTGTTGATGAAGTGCTACAACAGACAGTTCATTTGTGAATTTATTAAGGTACTAATCCGTACCTGAGAAAATGTCATCCGGAGGTGCAGGAACAGGAGCAGGAGGATTATCATTCTCCACGGGATAAGGTTCCCCGGGAACTAGAAAACAATAGGAGGGTTAAATCAATACACATAAAAAAAATAAAAAATAAAAACCAAGGAAACTTCACCTATTAAATTTCCACAAAAAAGAAAACAATATAAAAGCCCAGTCTACAGAGGCAATGGTTAAAAGAACATAAGCAGAGTGGCATGTATGTAATACTTTAATTTAAATAATTGTTGACGGAGTTGCGCTATGGAACATGGGAATTTTGCTTCTAGTATTCACAACACGAAACAAAAAATAACGTTGGCAAGTTAAGCACCAGCAACCAATTACTTGCCATTTTCCATCCCACGCTTCTGCTAGCATAAATGATTTTTTTTTCCATCATTTTGATTTGGCATCCTTGTCAAACAGAGTATCCAATCTGTAATGCCTAAACCATTACAATAATCCAGCTATTTAGGTTGAAAGGAAAGTTAGAGAAATTAAAGAGTAATTTGAAGAAATTAAGTCGTCAAAAACCAGAAGCTGAGGGATTGTTGTGATTGTGATAGCAGCTTCTATAGACATAAGCAAAATATCCAAAATGAAGCAGCAAACAGAAAACAGATTTCCAATCTTAGCATTTCCAAAATTCAACACTCAAAAATCAAAGCCCATTTAAAGAGTTACACATATGGAATAACCAAAATAACGCCATTGAATCATAAGACTAACCTGAATTTAGAGGAATATAATACAGCGCACCAGCTGTAACATTATCAGGATTCTGAATCCCATTCACTGTCTCAATACTATCCATACTAACACCAAATCGACTAGACAATGACTGAACAGTATCTCCTTCCTTCATCACATAACTCACCAAATAATTCCACAACCCACTTGAACACCCACAGAACAACCTCAATGACACAACAGCACCAACCTTTGCTTGTCTTGTTGTCTTGGGCAAGAAAGCAAGCCCGTCATAAGCATTGATCACGATGTCATAAACATAACCCCCACTGAATTTCACTGTATATGTAGAGTTAGTCACATAGACCTTGTCCTTGGACAAACAAGAGCAGTTCTTCTTGATGAATATGTAGCCACGGCCATTGCCTTCTCTGGTCACATCTTGGGGTAACACATCAAACATGCTTTGAATCATTGATAGAGTCAGGTTCTCCTGGGGTTTAAAGGCCAAAAAAGATGTGCACAGTCGTGTAGTGTCCGTACAGTTCATGGGTTGTGTTGAAAATGAGTGTAATGGTTGGATTTGAAGACAAAGAAAGCATAGTACCGGAATCAAGAAACTTGTCCTTGGAAGATGATTCATTGTTCTTGAGACACGATTCTGTCTCTAACAAAAGGAGAAAAACTTGCTAGAAGAATACAGATTTGCGAACTTAGGGGCAAGAAAGAATCAAAGATTTGTAGTTGAAGAAGCGAGTTTTGAAGCCAAAACGCAAAGGAGTGAAACAAGTAGCTTGTAAACAAATCTTGCCGAAAGAAAACAGAGTTGAGTGGCAAAAAGATTCAAGATTTAGACTTCGATCATAAAAAAGGAAAAGCTAAAACCTACAGAAGAAAACAGTAAAAAGAGCAAGGAAGAATATTCGGTATCGAGAAAATGAAAGATGAGTGGATTGAATTGGGATCTATTCTACTCTACTGAACTATGGTTAGTAAGTAGCTGTGTTTGGTGTGAGATAATGGAGAGTGTTGATGATGAAAAGGAGGGAAGACGTACAGTAGCTGCAATAGGCAGGCAGGCAGGCAGGTAGCCGTAGCTCATAGGGAGGTTTGGAAGAGAAGGACAGGAAGAGGAGAAAGGGATGAGAGGAGGGCATTTGTTTTTGCTTCTTTATTATTGTACTTCTATAGTTCTATGATAAGTTTCACTGTCGTCCTCTCTGGTAACTTGCTGTAAAAAGTGAGAGAGAAAGCGACTGCAGGAGAGAAAAGGAAGTGTGCAGTTGAGACTACAGAGACGAGATGACGATGGATGGGTTTCTGCTCATAATTTGACGCCTGTTTAATTTTACTTACTAATCTACCCTTTGTTTAATCTTTTCTATGCTTTTTAGCTATATTATTAATAAAATAAAACCGTTTAAGAAATTTAGAGGTCAATTAATTAATTTTTTGCTTTTTAAAAAAAAATCTAGCCAGCTAATACATTATAAAACTATGTATAAAAATATGATTATAATTGTTTTTTAAAGTATTTTTTATTTAGAAATATATTAAAATAATATTTTTTTATTTTTTAAAAAATTTAATATAACCCAACAAAAAAATTTTTAAAATATCAAAATAATATTAATTTTAATAAAAAATAAAAATAAAATAAATTTTTCTAAAAATATTTTTAAAATATAAAAACTAATAATGCGTGTTAAAAAGCTAAAAAAAATCTAATTAAATGGGAAAAGGCCAGTCTCTCTCTCTTGTTTTTTTATGATTGGAGGGACAAAACCGGGAAATGCTTTCACGGGATTAGGAACCAAAAGCTGGTGATGGAGTATGGATTGGGCACAAATTGCAAAGGGAGCTGGAAGTGAACGGACAGTTGTCTGGGTCCCACACTAATCACAATTAGTCGCCGACTAATTGACAGCGCAACCCAGTCAATGAGGCAAGTCACGTTGACTTCAAATCCTTCGAGCCTAGTTTCGTTTACCGACAGCAGCACCTTTTCTTTCACTATGCTGTTAAATACCCTCCATCGCTGTCGTTTTTACTTCGGTGACTAAAAGGCTCTACGTTTACGCTATACTAAGCTACGCTGCACGTGCGATTAAAAAAAATTAACATATTCGGATCCCATTATTGTTATTAAATTCGATTAAATGGAAAAGAAATGAAATATTCTAATCTTATGTAAAATTAAATTATAAAAAATATAAATATATTCAGCTTCACAATTTCATATTTTATTTTCATGTTAAACACACCATATACATATAGAAATGCAATATCAAATATTTCTCATGTTAAACACACCATATACATATACATATAGAAATGCAATATCAAATAGTCTTGTATGTACGGTAATTGGTGGGGAGTATTTTTAAAAGTGTTTTTTAATTAAGAATATATTAAAATAATTATTTTTAGATTTATATAAAAATTATTAATTTAATAGTTTTTAAAAAAGATAATAATTTAAAAACAGAAGCTACGAGAATGTCAAACAAGCAAAGTCCGTGTACTAATTTCTAGAAGTCTTTAACATGTGCAAGCAATTGAGTACGAAGTCTCTCGCTGGTCTTTTTTAACTTGTATGGGTTTTGGGTCCTCGGATAAATAAACGACGAAAGCCACTTTACTGTTCATCAAATCAACGAGGATGTGTGTTTTGTACAGTAGTGATTGGCTTGAAAACGGCGTCATATCGAAGGTACGTGATGCCCGCCTGGAGGTGTGCCGATTTTTTTATGAGAGATAATGTGGAAAAAATGAAAGGGGGATGCTCTGACAAGGTAGGGTCACACGTGGGCCAGGAGACATCTGTCAAAAATCTACCTTGATAATCCAGGCAGGACACGAGTGATCTAACCTGGAGCAGATACCAAACAAATCATGTGATATTCAACAGAATACACTAAAATAATCACATCCCACTCCTTTTTTTTAATATAATTATCCATCTCAGTCATGTATTTTAATTAATTTTATTAATATTAAAATTAATAGTTCTATAAATTTTTAATAATTTTAAATTTATAAAACTCAAATTAATAATCTTTAAAAAAATAAATCTAAAATTTAAAAATTACCTTCTCAACACTTTTTCTTTACACTAATGATGTAATATTCCTTCCCTTTTGCTTTCCCTCTCTGGGGTTTCTATCTACTCTTTCAAAATTATTTGGCCGAAAATATATTTCATCGAAAAAGACATTTGCAAACCACTTTTGGTTGAAGCAGCTTTTTGGGTTTTAATTAATAAAAAAAAGCATATTTTTATATTCAAATTTACCCTTGATTACTTGAAGCATATTTTTATTGATACCCACATTCAAGTTGTAAGAAAAACAATTGACAATTATAGCATGATGTCTGGCCTACTTCTTGTTTTATTTTTTGAAAAAAAAAAAAAACTTTTCATTTCTTTGATATCATGAAATTAGAGCGTGCATTCGAAAGCTTCAACATTTATCAGAAACATCTTCACATGTTATATTCAAATTTACCCTTGATTACTTGCTATTTAAAAGATTCATTAGAATTTAAATATTATAAAAAAGATATTTAAAAGAAAACTCAAATCAAGATTAAATGGTGAAATACCTATCAAGAAATCAATCGTGTTTGTTTTTTGAATATTCGTTCTGTAATTTCTTAAGTTTTTTTCAATTTCATTATCTTTTTAAATAATAATTAATGCTATCAATTTTAAATATGAAAGGAGGCAAGTTAAATCTTTGGATGGTAGCTGGAATTCAAAGATATATTGGAGGACAAATATAATTTATTTATGTGTTTAATTAAGTATGGAAGCATTGCGGGAAAGTGGGGGCACCATGTGAATGCGAACATCGCTGGAAGGTATATCATGTGACATAGGATAATTAATGCAGGCCTGTCTTTTTCTTTTTCTTTTTTATTTATAAAAATATTCAAATTATTTTATATGTTTGATTAATTTTATATATTTTAAAATTAATGATTATATAAATTTTTAATAATTTTAAAATTTATAAAATTTAAACTAATCATTTCTAAAAAAAACAAACTTAATACTTGATTAATTAAATTATAATTCTTAAAATTAATATAAACTTATCTTATAAAGAGATATTATCGTTTAAGTTTTTGAGGGTTGGTATTGTGTTGAATTATATTTTTAAAGAATTTTTAATATTTTTTATAATTGTGTTATTAATAAATTTTTTAAATAAAAAATATTATATTTTTAAATAAAAAAAAATTATAAACAATCTTCATCGCCGTCTCCATCTTTATAGTCCCATGACATCAAAACAAAGCATACCAATATCATTTGGAATTAACACTTGGCCCCGCTACTTTGGGATTTTGTCTCTTTGGGCTTTATATTTCTCTCTAAATTTTAATTTTTGAACATCCATCGGCGACGATATTTCAAGATTTTAGAATATCAAAATAGTACTAATTACAGGTATGCCCGCATGATATTTTTGAATGATTTTCAAAACTTATTTTTATTTCATTTTGTTATTTTAAAATTTATATTTTAAATAAATTTCATCGATCTAAATTATAATTATTTAATTTAAAATTTTATTTTCTTACTAAGAAAAACTGAGCATCATATAAAAATAAAAAAAAATCTTCAATCAAAAACTAAAAAAACAATAACATGATAATTTTAAAGCAAAGTACAAAAAAATAAAAGAATAATTAATTTTAAAAAACTTATATAAAATATTAACATAAAAAACATATTTAAAAAATCAACAAATTATATTTTTATAAATTTTCTTATAATTAATTGTCAAATATTACCATAAAAATCTCAAGTCTTGTTTGAAAAGCAATGTTTTTAATAGTAAAAAGAGTTGTTACTTCTCATATAATGAAAATAAATATTTTATCTTGTATATCCTTATTTTATTTTGCTTTCTCTCACTTTTTAATGAAGGTTTATTATGATCGCTAGAATTCATCTATTTAAAATTTATGAGGAAATTTTTTAAAAAAAAAATTTTACAAAAAATAAAATAAGTATTCTTAAAAACTCCAATAATATATATTTCTTCCGTCAAAAATTTGTTTTCCTATTAAGGCTTCATTTGTTTGCAGGAAAGTTGTTTCCTTTTGGAAAGTGAATTCCGGGGGAAAATGAATTCCTAAAAAGTAAAGTATTTTCCGATGTTTGGTGGTCTTATGGAAAATGAATTGGAAAACACTTTCCAGTATTTGGTTATGTTATGGAAAATGAACTGAAAAATAATTTATTAATATTTTATTTTTCTCAAGTTTATTAAAATAATAAAGAATAAATCTTACAAATTAAAAAGTTGAATAATAATGAAATTGTAAAAACAATAATTTCATAAATTATCTTAAATAAAATAAATAACAATCAAAAGAATGAGGACCAAATTTGATAGAAAAAAAATTCAATAAAAAATAATAGGAGAAAAGCAAATAACAATTATAAAAATGAGGACCAAAGTTAATATAAAAATTAAATTTTAAGAAATGAAATTGAAAAATAAATATTCAAAACAAAATATATATAGCAATCAAAAGTTTGAGAATTAAATTTGATATAATCTGCAAGTAATGACATTTCTAAATTTTTCACAACTTCCGAAAAGTGTTTTCCTCCCAAATTTTTCAGGAAAACACTTTCCTGAAAATCAAGCCAAATTTTTCTTTGACTGGAAAGTGTTTTTTGTTGACCATAAAATGTTTTCCGTTGACCAATTTTCTTAATGACAAACAAACACAGGAAAGTTTGGAAAGTGGTTTCCCGGAATCTGTTTTCCGGAAAACAAACATGGCCTAATTGTTTTTGACTTTTGACAAAGCAATGATTTTCTTATTAATAAAAACTTATTGCAGTTAAAATAAATATAAGTCAAAACTCAAATAATTTAAATTAAGCAAGAAAAGAAATGCACATCTTTAGTCAAAACTTCATTTTTCTTATTTATTAATTTCTTGTAACTTTGGAGAGAGCATAAATTTTTTTATGCAAACTATAATTATTCAAATACAAACTCATCATGATTTGTAAAGCACAAAATAATAAAAATAAAATTTTGATTATTTTCATGAAACTATAAAAAAAAAATTTAAAATAATTAAATGAAGAAAATAATATAAAAATTGAAAATGAAAATAAAAATATATATTTTATTTTCAT